ACTGACGGATGTACCCATTTTGGATCATTTTCTTCTGACACTTGATAGTAAAAGTTCTCCCTCGACAGAAAATAGTCAATTATTTTCTCACGATGCTCAATAACTTCCGGGCGCTCATGGCCCAAAAGATATGGACGGCTTTTGTTTGGCGAATAGCTGATGCCCCACTTTTGTAGATCTAGACGGCAACTTTGTACAAAACGAATCAAACCAGGTACATCTTTATCTAGATCATTAATTTCTCGATATTTGTCGTCTATGAAATGACTCAACTCTTCCACAGTGAATGACGCTGCTTTTCTTGTACAGGCTTGTATAGCAAATTCACGAGCTTCTTCCTCAATGTCCGGATACAAATCCCAAAAGGCTTCGCCACGTTTACCACCTCTTGCATCGGCTACAAATCTTTCGAAACCGTAGTGCATCAATCTGTCCGTTTGTTTATGACATGCTTGAGCTCTGCAGCCCCAATTTCGCTTAAAAAAACATCGACGTCACGATATGAAGTGCCGAAGTGTCTCATAGACATATATAATAATACACTTAAACCCTTTGTACTACAATGTTGTTTACAAAATGCCATAAGTTCTCGAATACTTTCCAACAAATCTTTTGAAGTAAAATCAATGTTATCCGTCTTCTGAAACATAAGGTCCTTATCTTCGCTGGAAGAATCAGACTGTTTTTCAGAATAACTGGAACTTGTTCGTTTTTTTATTCGCAGCGTTTTTAACTGCGATTTACGTTTAGTATCTTTTCCCATCCTTTAGACTTTATAATAGAACTACGACAAATATCATTTCTTTTCTTTTCAAAAGAAATTTCTTTTCTTTTTAACGTTTTTTGAAGGAAAATTTAATAAAAGTTTGAGTCTGCGTGGTCAGTGAGAAAAGAGCGTTGTGGTGGAATCACGTTTTCGTGGCGGAATCACGTTTCGCAAAATGACCATGTTTTTTTTCAACTTTTTATTTGTTCATGAAGTGGTTAATATCTTAATCAAAACATGTGATGAGTATTTCCTTAACAAAAACAGTGAAAACATGGTTTTCGGCCTGCCATTTTTCAATTCTTTCACACAATTA